ACAGCGCCCTCCGACGCAACCACGCGCGCACTCGCGTACAACGCATATTCGCCACCGAACACAGCCGCGTCCAGCGCGACACCGCCACCGACGAGCTCCAGCACCGCGCCGTCCACCACCACCGTCCGCCCACCAGTCATCACCGTCACGAGGGCCACGCCGGACACAACCAGCACGGACCGCACAAGCCGCAGACCCGACAGCACCAGCACCGGTGCGTACGGCGAGGACTGCGAGCCGGAAAGATACACAAGCGGCGTCGGCCTCGCGGAAACCAGCAGGGTGTCCGTCACCGTCAACGCGGACCCCGCGGGATACGTGCCGGTCAGCACAAGCGCACCGTTCAGCGCCTCCACATCGCACACGGAGAGCTCCACCGGTCCGCTCTCGTTGCTTCCCGCAGCCACCGCACCGCGCAACGCTCCACCGCCCATCACGTACAGCACGGCGCCGTTACGCAGCGACACGTTCTGCACAACGATCCGCACGCCGTCTCGCGCCATCCACGGCACGTACAGCACAGGACTCACGCCGTCCAGCACAACGTGGCGCAGCGTCACCTCGCTCGCACCGGCAGGCACAACGAACACCGACCGCACCGTCAAGTTCTCGCGGACGAACACACTCGACGCGGTGCCCGCAGCGGGCGGCAGTGCGGGAGCTCCCACAGGCACGCACGCCTCGCCGTACCCGCCGCTGCCGCACGCGCACACGCACACACCGTCCTTCATGTTGCACCCCACCACAAACTGCGCGGGTGACGTCACAATCAAACCCGATGAAGTAATTTTCGCAAAGGCTTTACTCGAGTCCGCCTGACGGTTGTGTGCAAGCGACACGGTGGTGCCGCTGCCCGATAGTTCAATACTGTACCAGGAAAACGGCATACTCAATACTGAGGATGCGCTCACGTTGTTGCCCTCCACACGCCACTGCGCACCACCCTGAAGAATGACCGAGCCGTACAACTGCACCAGAGCAGAATTGAATGCCTCCGTGCTGCCAGTGAAGGTGCAGTCCGCCACCCTCAGCAGCCCCGCGGAGCTCACAGTAATATACCCGAGAAAAAAGATGCCGATGGCTGCGCTAATCGTGTTGTTCTCGACGTCAATATAGCCGCCGTTCTTCAAATCAACATCGTTATAATAAACGGCAGACTCCGAGCTGTAACCCCTCTTTATTGACTTCAGCATATTTCCCTTAATAATGATCCCACTACCATCAACAACAACAGCAACGGGGAAATAAACTGCGTAACTCTCCCCCTCCATGTTGTTGTCGAGCAGGAGCAGCGTCGAGTTCGCACCCAAAGTAAACCTTGGAAATTGAATGGCATGGCTCGACGTTGACAAGAGCTTACTGCCTGCCACCAGTATCTGGGAGCTCGCGCCAAAATCATCCTCAAACTCCAATGCACCAGAATCCAGCATCGAGGATGTCACGCTCACGTGCACGCGCGCACCACTCCCCTTGATCGACAAGCCCATGAGGACGCACTGCAGTAGCGTGATGTTGAGTGTCTTTCCTGGCGCGTCGAAGCTCCACAGGTCCAGCACAATCGCGGCGGTGAAGGTCACGTTGACAAAGCACAGGCCACGCACACCGGGATCAGGATAGTCCACGGAGCTGATGCTGCCACCGTGCACGCAGCGGACCTCCGTATCGTTCGCATCGGGGAGCGGGAACGGTCCAAGGCCGTCCGGAACGGCAGCTGGCAGACACGTGTCACCGTGGCCGCCAGCAGCGCACACACACCCACAGCCGCTGACGCTGCTCGTCCTCGCTGCAAAGCACACGGCGTCCACGGTGCAATTTCCACAGTCCAACACCGTCACGGGCGCCACAATATTGAGCTCACTTCTGTAATTCTTCACGGGAGACCCCTTTATCTCGTTGCACGTGCCGTAGATGATCGGGCGTGCATCGTATCGTACAAGCCAAAAGCTTGTCATGTATGCAGTGATCGACGAATAGGAGCCGTACCCAAAGTCGTTGTAAAGTATCGACCACACACTCCGATCGCGGAACGCCACGCCGTCGTATCTAGCCACGTACAAAACGTAGGCAGTGCGGAACGCGTTGTCGCGGTGCACCAGCCAGCTGCCGCCAGTCACAGTCAGCGTGGTTGCCATGAGCATGGCGAAGCCGAGACGGAACGTGCTGGACACAATCTGCAGCACGCTGCCGCCATCCACCGCAACGTCCCCAAACACAAACGCGCCTTTGTAGTACTCGGTGCTCGGCGCACTCCACAAGCTGTTCTGTATGGAGAACACGGAGCCACCACTAACACGCAGGTCCGACGCAAGGGCGTACATCACGTGCGTCTGCGAATTGACGGCGCAGTTGTCCATGTAGAAGACGCTGGACAGGTTCACACCGAGGCCGCGCTCCACAAGGATTGCAGCGCACGAACCCCCGCCACACACCAGAGTCGACCGCGTCATGACAAACCGTGTCGACAGAAGACGGACACCGTCCAGGACAAGCGCGGGGCCGTACCGGGATCCCTCGTGGCCAGGGGTCGTCGGCACGTACTGCGACCCGCCAACCGTCGCGCGCAGCGTTGAGTTCGCCAGCAGCACACTCGAGTTCAGCGGCATCGCGCCATGCAGCACAATCGTGCCCTCCAGCGACGTCACATTCGTCATGTTGACTAGGGCGTGGGGCATCAGGCGCGCCGTGCTCTCGCTGAGGCCGCCAATCCGCAGCTGCGCGCCGCCCGCAAGCACGCAGTGGCGCAGCGTCACGTTCAGCGCGTCAGCGAACGCATCCATCGAGCGCAGGTCCACCACCACAGTGATCGGTCCGCTGAACACCACCGAGTCGAAGCACGCCGTCGCCTGCCCGCCGCCAACCGTCACGGACTCCGTCAGCGTCACGCCACTCACGCAGTCCTGCCCACCGCCACCACCGCCGGCCCTCGCAGGCGGCACGTCGAACGGCAGGCACGCGTCGCCCACACCGCCGGCGCGGCAGCTGCACACGCAGTCGGTGAACGACGCCGTCAGCGCATCGAAGCACGCCAGCGCTGCCGCACATCCGTCGCACGGCACCACGCTCACGGAGGGCAGGCCGGCCAAGCGGTAGTCGCCGCTGCTCTGCAGCACCCGGCCGCCCGCACGGTTGCACTGCACGGACACAGCGCCGCTCGTGATCGTCGGTCCGGCGGCAAGCGTCGCGCCGGTGGCAGCGCAGCGAGCAATAGACACGGCGCCGCCGCTCAGCGTCAGCTCCGACAGCGACGCCACAGACGACGCCTCGCCCACCGCCCACACGTCGTGCAGCTCCAGCCACCCGCCGGCACCGACCGTCCCACCGTCGCATCGCACCAGCGACGACGCAGCAGACCCCTCGACGCCCACGAAGCGCAGCACCGAGTCCGACACCGCGAGGCGATTGCCAAGCACAATGCCGCCGCCGCTGCTCACAACCGACACGTTCGTCACGGAGAACACCGAGTGGTTACGCAGACTGAGACGCGACGAGGATGACACATGCATCGCGGACGCGGTCAGACCGCCCGACGCCTCCAGCGATACGCCGTCAAGCACCACCGCACTCGACAGCAGGTCCACGCCGCCGCCAACGTACATCGCCGTCCCGCCCGCCTGCGACGACCTCAGCACGGTGTTGCTCACACGCAGCTGCGTCTGCAACAGCGACGTCGCGTGCAGCACAAGCGGCGACGCCACCGCGTCCGTCAGCCCGCTCAGCTGCGAGTAGCGCATCGGTCCCGCCGTCACAATCGTCGAGTCACGGACCGTCACGTTCGTGCGTGCCGGCAGGTTGTGCACAAACACAAGCGAGCAGTAGCTCCCCGACAGCCCGCTCACGCTCACCTCCAGGCTCCGGTCACTCGCCGGCTCGCCGCTGTAGCCCCGCACGTAGATCTGCGCACCGCCGTCGCACACGCAGTTCCTCAGTTCGATGCGCAGCGCGCCGGGAAGCATCGCCGCAACGTCGAACACCACAGCCACGCCGTTCGTGACGCACACGCCGTCCATCAGCACCGTGTCCACGGCGCGGCCCACCGTGATGGCTCTGTCCACCGTGCCGCCCCGCAGTCGCAACGGCACCGCATGCACCGCGGGCATCCACGCCGCCGCCGCAACCAGCGCCAACAGAGCAAGCAGCATCACACGCACAGTCGAAATGGCCCTGCGCCGCAAGCGGTGCCGGCTGCGCGGACACGCACCCACCGCAGACCACATCCACCAACCCAGCCAGGTATCAACAGGACTGTCGTGGTGTGTCGCACTCGTCTCGTCGACCGTGCCTCCTGCTCCGCAAATCCCTTCCTACAGATGCCAAATACAGTGACCCGATTCCGCCAGATCGTTATCCCACTACTACTAATAATACTACTACAACTGCTGCGAGTAATTACTAAAACCTTGAAACGCTAGTTGTGGTGGTCAAGCCACAGTATCTCTATCTGCACGGTAAAACAAGGAAGAGGCAGCAACAACAGTAGCCAGACACAGTAGGACGCAGCGGCATCCGGCCACATATATTCCACATCACAGCCAGCGACACAAAGACGCGCAGACACAGTCAGCCCAGTGATGCCATCGGCCTCCCTCCGCCCGCGCAGCCCCGCACAACCGCCGTGCAGAGTGGCGGGACCCCGGCCAAGGGGCAAATGACCATTGGCACCGCCCTCCTCACCAAATGCCTCCAACACATGACGACCCCGATGCCGTGGAAAACACACAAAAGCCGAGGCAGATACACGTGGCATTGTTGCAACCGCCAGCCATCGAGCGCGTCCGTGAACGTGGTGGTGGTGGCGCGGAAGAGGGGTGGTGAGTGCGTCAGTTGCCAGTAGTCAAGGCGTCGTTTCTCGCTCACGTGGGTCGGCATTGCAGAACAAAGAGCGGCATCATGCGCGCACGGCATGCACAAGGGCAAAAGGGAGGAACAAAGAAGCACGGTGGCGGCACTCAGCCACGGGGGACAAGGGTCCACATCGACTCTGCGGTCGGTTGACCTTCAGACGTCCGGTTTGTAATCACGCCGCGCAGTTCGTGTGTCTGCAGGAGACTGGGGGATGGAGGGAGGGAAGAGAGAGGCGGTGCGGCCCGCATCGGTCCCGGTTGGGTGTGACAAAGGTGGGGTCATCTCGTCAGATCGCCGGCAGCAAAGACGGTCGCCGTCAGCGGCGGTCAGTGCCTTCCTTCTCCCACCGCAGCGCCACCCCACCGACGCCGTCGCCCGCCTCCTCCCCACCGACACAACGAGGGGACAACAGCAGGAGATGCAACGCCCGCAACGATCAGGCTGCCGCAGAGTCTCGTTGCAGCCGCCATGACCAGACGAGTGGGATGCAAACAAAAAGAAAAAACAAAAAACAATTGCCCCCTCAAGCATCTCAGCACAACGTGGAAGCACAGCAGCCGGCACACAAGGCGCAACGCCGTTCAGTGGCTACCAGCACTCACCCTCAGTTACGCGGCAACGTGAAAATGAACGAGCTCCTCCCACACAGCCATCCTGCAACACGAGTGAGTCACACGAGCAGTCGCACAAATTAACACCACGCCACGCAAACCAGCAATCAAAGACACCGCCGGCGAAGGAAGCGATGGATGGCTGCGGCGCGCAGCCGCAATAATAAAACATGTGTCACCTTGCTTGGGGCATAAGAAAGAAGTCCAATCAAAGAGGCAGGCCGATTCGCACCAGAGGGAGGTAAGAGCAAACAGAAGCAAACATTCGCCTGGGGCGATTGACCGGATCGTAAAGTTATTTACGAAAATCAAGCAATACAGGAGGAAGAGGGGGTAAGTGAAAAAGCAGTGGGCTCACCACACCCTCAAGCTTTGCCCCAAGTAAGTATATGTACACATATGTATTCCGATAGCCACTCTCGTGACATGCTGCGCTCTATTCGGATTGGATAAATATATACATACATATAT